ATGCCTTAGTTTCCTGTCCTTCAAAATGAAGACCATAATATCTACCTCACCTGTTTCTTGTTAAAAATCTACCAAGCACCTCTCCAAGCACGTGAAATAAGGTCCATTCCTGTCAACAGTACAATAGATAATGATCAATAGAAGTGTTGTTATTAGTAATATAATTAGTATTTATTCAATGAATCGTTGCTTTCTATTTTTATCTCCTTAACTCTGTACATATCTATTATTATCCATAAATACAGTAAAAGTGTACAGTAGCTATGTCAAAATTCATGCTTGGTAAAAGCTATTAAAAAGAGAATAATGAACATAGAAAATACATGAAGTAATGGTCATTGAGAGCACTCAAAATATTTCACATTAGAAAAAAATAGATGTTTTAAAGTCAAGGATACTGAACTATTTCACTGATGTATTTTTTTAAAGCGGAGCCTAGGCTAAATGATTTATGATAGCACTTTGTAGTACATTAGAAGTGCCCTGTAGTATATTTTGTAAATACAGTGACATTTTAGCAATAAGAGTTCTCATTACATGTCTCTGTTATTAAATCATTTCTCCAAAGACAGGTTAAACTGCTAGGTTTTGGGCAAGAATTATAGGGTTTATAGATTCATGAAGTGAAAATCAGTATGCAGGAGCTGTGTAATGTATATTCACTGTGAGGTAGGGTACAGCGGAATGAGAAATGATTACAATGCTCAGAGTGTGAAAAATGAACAAAATAATTTTCTGAGTGTCTAAGCCCTCTCAGAATGACTTTTCCTCTCATTCTTTGCTTACATGAGAATAACGTGTTTCCAGCATTATCATTTGTATTGGGTTTACTCAAAAAAAATGTGACCATCTTGGCAATATTTTCATTCAAGGCCCTGACTCAGGTTGAGATTAGGACTGGCTCACAGAGAGCTGACTACTGCACCTGAGTTGGAATTTGGGCAGTTATCAAAAGAAGTCAAAATACAGTCTGTAAATTTTAATTTTGATAAAATATTACTGATTCCAATATGATTGCCACATTTTCATTTATTAGAGAATTGATCAAAAGAAGTTCGTCCATAGAATGCCAATGTGACAAACTGGTCTGATTTGACACATCTGAAGGAAAGTCTGAACTGTACCTTTAAGGAGGAGTGTTGGTTAGTTTTATTTCCCAAGAGATTCATTGACTTGGTCCCACGGAAGGAGTACTTGTTAATGAAATGAAGTTAATAAACATGTAGATCTTTTATAACCAGATGGAAATTGATTATTGAGCTTTGTACTCAGAACAACTACAGTGAAGTCTTTATTTGGTACCATTCTTGGCCCATAGACACTTGCAAAGAGATTTGGGGCTACAGAATAGAATAACAGGATTGCAAGCACAGTAAAAGAAATTAGGGCACAGGAGCTCTTAGCAAAGGCATAAGTTACTTTTGAAATGGTTTATATCAGCGATTGGTTCTCACAGTGCAGTTTGCATCAGAATAACCTGCAGAGCTTGTTAAAACACCAAGTTTTAGAACCCCGCTCCCATAATTTTTGATTCAATAGGTCTGGGGTGGGTTCCATGAATTTGCATTTCTAACAGGTTCCAGCTGACATAGCTGCTGCTGGTCTGGCCACCATTCTTGAGATGCTTTGGTCTTTATGCTGTGGCTGTCACTAAGTTAATTCCCCATTTCCTAGCAGCTGGGAGAGTACAGGATCTGCTTGAGGACTCACAGATGATTATCTTTCCTTTATCCATTCACTCAGTAAATACTTACTGGGTGCCCATAGAGTCTTGCTAAGTTCTATCAGGTTGACCAAAATGTTCATTAGTTTTGTCTGTATGTTGGTGCTACTGGTGCTTATTTGTCTTTTACTTCATGTGAAACAATTTTGTTAGATTGTATTGCAACAGCTATCATAGCAGCATGCATTAAAAAACATCAAAATTGGAGAATTTTTGTGTAGGCATTTTAATATTGAAGATGGAAGAAGATATGCTACATTTTGACATATTATGCTTTATTATTTCAAGAAAGATAAAAATGCAACTAAAACACACAAACACAGAAAGATTTGTACAGTGTATGGAGAATGTGCTGTGACTGATCAAATGTGTCAAAAGTGGTTTGCAAAATTTCTTGGTGCTACTGACATTTTGGTCAAATAACTTTTTGCTGTGGGGCTGTCTTATGCATTGGAAGATGTTTAGCAGCACCCCTGGCCTCTGTCCACTAGAAGACAATCATGGGAGATAGCTGACCTACTCAAAAATATCCAAATCAATCAAGTGACTGGTGAAAATGAAAAATGTGTCTTCTACTTTATGGAAAAAACCATAAGGACTTTTTGGCCCACCTAATAAATACAGTAGGTTGATGGTTGTGAGCACATGAAACAGAATGTATTCTTATATTATTCTTTATTAATTACTGTATTATTTTCCATACGAACAACTGTATACCTGCTTTTGCCCCATCCCGTATATAGCTATGAATACTCAGACTTAGGTTATCATTGCTTTCAATGAGCCTAAAAGCTGATTATGGAATTCTGATAATGTGTAGTGATTATAATCAAGGATGCTATGAAACAAAAGAGAGGGACAGCACACAGACTTGTGGGGAGGACAAGGGAGGCTTCCTGGAGAATGTGACTCCTCCACTTACTTTTCTGATATCTTCACTAAATGAAAAAAATGAAAGAAAAAAAGCCTGTAACTTCTGAGCTAGTGCCCTCTCCCCCAAATTAGTGTGAGAGCTTTTATAGAATGTTCAAACGGCCCCCTCTCTCAGCTACTCGGAAAAACCCCAAAACCACTAAGGTCATAAAAATGTAAATATAATCACATCGCCTTCCTGCCCAAAAGTTCCTATAGCCTCAGGAAAAACGCCAAACTTCTTCATGATCTTTTCCAGCCTGCGCTCTTAACTTTCAAACATGCCACCAGCCACCCAAACACCTTACTCTCAAATCTTGCTCATCCTGAACATGTTCTTTATTTTTTACATCTAGATATTGCGTGTGCTCTCTTCTCTGTGTAGGTTTGTTTGTCTCTCTACTGCCCACCTCCACCTTACCTGTTGCAGCGCAGTGCTCTGGCCTTTCATGAAGCCTTTCTTCATTCTCTCTGGCAGATGAGCACTTCTTTCTCTGCATTACAAACATCTAGCTGACGTCTTTGTTAAGTGTGTTGGGCTAGTTATTTGTTGACTTTTCTATCCCCTAGACTAGCAATTTTCAAACAGTGTGACAAGAATTTTTTAAATATGCACTGACTGTTTAGTCAGGGAAACTGACCTCTTTTCCCTTAGATGGTCAAATTAAAAAAATGGCAACAGCCAACACAACAATAGCTTTCTGGTGTGAATGACTCAAAAGTATACCTATTTTTTTTGTCAGATTGGCAAAAATATAAATTTGTTGGGGTGGTGGAGAATTTTAGTAATTAGTTTATGTGTGCCACGAGGAAAGAAAGGTTGAAAATTGCTGCCCTGGACTAGACGGTGGGTTCCTGCATGACAGAGACTGTGAGTTACTTATTTCATAACACAGCACTTACACAAAACTAGGTACGGAATAGGTGCTCATTGACTGGGCAATGAATACAAAATGAGAAAAGTGGGTTAATTATTTCTACCTTGGTGATTACCGTTGCCTAATATTTTTGAGTTAATACCAATTTTAAATATTTAGATGAGAGAATCTGACAAACACAGCTTAAGTCTGGAATCCATTATTTCCCTAATCAGTTGTGGTTAGGCAAGTTAGGCACCAAGGGCAAGGAACAGCATGAGTAAAAATGACAGATCCATGCATCTCATTTATCTCCTTTCAAGCCCCCAAATACCACTGTTATTTGTGTAAAGATATTAATTCACGAGAACAGAAATAACTAGAAAAGGGAAAATAGCAGATAAGAGATTCAATGACATGTAGGGAGATGAGAAGCAAATAGAAAATAAACAATTTAGAAGAACAGAGAAAGTTTAAACTTAATTATTTGCAGAGAGGGTTACGGATGAGCCAAACTACTTCATGTAATTCTGAGGACCTCAATGTTTGGAGGTGCCCCAGACAGAAAAAAATGAAGTGTTATGCATAGAATAGTGTTTCCACAAGGAAAATGTTTCCGAGCATTTTCTGGAAAATTTATGTTTTTCTGAACCCAGAGAAAAATCAGTTGGGAAAACAAGAAAGAGAATTACAATTTCCCTGTCAGAATTAAAGCCAAATAGTCACCATAGAGATATTAGTAGTTTGGAGAAGTAGACTGATCTCAAGTTGTAAGCAAGAGCAAAAATCACTGATGTGCAGAGTCAAAGAATAAGATCGACATTTCCAGAACTAGGACATGAGCAAAGTGGGGGGAGACAGTTAAGAGCTAATCAGTTGCTGTTGCCATGTTCTGAGTGTTTGTGCCCCATCTGCTGCTAAGAGTGCATGATTATCACAAATAAAATAAATATTAATACATTTATATGCATAGTATACTTTATACAAATCCTTAGAGAGTGGTTCCAAGAAATAACAAGTTCTGGAAGCAAAATTAAGTTCTTAAATTGGCCATTTCCACACGTAATTCTGTGTAGTGTTGTTAATTGTGTTAGGATATCAGGATATTATGTTACTATAATTCTACCCAATAATGTCAGCTGGCCTTTTCCAATGTTTGAAAATACTCCATAGACTACTGGGGTTTGTAAACACTTTCACAGAGAAATGCAGGGAGAAGATTAGAATGTCGTAGAATACTAAACAGAATTAGCAACTGATCTAAAATCTGAATCAGCAAAGCGATACAAGTTTCAATGGCAAAAACAAATTCAGGGCAAATGAGTGAAATAATTTCATTATTGCAGATTTTTTTGGACTCACGCTACCAACTGCCACAAAATAAAAGGAACTTTTCTACAAAACAGAATATTTGTTACAAAATAGAAATCAAGATTATTGAACAGAGCCAAAATGCTTTGTATGTTTTAAACTTTCATTAGGAAAAACAACTTTAAAATATTTTGCACACACTTACCGGGCAGGGGAGATGCCATGATCACGAAGGTGGCTTTCCCAGGGTGAGACTGATCCGCTGTTCTCCAGATGTGCTGACCCCCACGATTTCCCCAAATGTGGGCAATTCGACTGCATAGTGGGGTAGCGGGGGACTGAATTTGTGCTCTCCCCTGAAAAATAAGAAATATGTGTATTTTACATGTTTGTGGTATTATCTCTCAATTCTTAACATTTATTTAGCATTTACTTTTATTCCATGTTTCCCTCTTTAATGTGTTCTATTACCAGATAGCTATACCAAATAGAGGTCATTTTAATGTTATTAAAATATATCATCTTGTTATAATATTACTTCATAATAATCAGAAACTATATATTTGTTACTGTTTTTACCCAACACCTCTGCAAATTTGACTGTATCACAGATGATTTACTGTTTATTATTATAGTCAGCTATTATTGTATAAAAACACTTAAGTAAATTATTATAAAAAATACAGATTAGTTTATAATTTAGGGACTTTCTAAGATTTCTGAGAATTCTGATGCCTTAGCCCAGGATTCTGTGGGGAATTTGGAAACACAAGAAAGGGGTCGAACACAGAGGAGCTGGTGGGGGGATCACCTTGAGGGGAACCCTTCTCCATCTTACAGGCCAGAGCCTAGGGTCTCCTCTTTTTCCAGTCACAAGCCCATACCCACCAAACCCCGAACCGTGGGACCCTGGGAGTTGAAGCTTTGGGAATAGAAATGTCTTCAGACTTAGGGAGTCTGCAGTGAAGGTCTAGGGGCACCTGTGGATTGAGAAAGGCAAATTAAGTAGAAATCTAGTTACTCTACCGTGGAACCTTTCTCACTCTCCCTTTATTTATGTCTCCAATGTCACTAGCCAAATGAAAACTGTCTCTCACTTGTTTGTCACTTCCCCAGCCCCAGTGTATGAAATGACTGTGTTCTCCCAACATAAAAGTCTGCCAGACCCTCGTCCTCCGCCCACACCACTGCAGACCCATCAACGCGTCAGAAGCCATTCTCGAGTAAGAATGAATGAACAGCCAGGTTAAAGGATTCTCAGGTATTGAGGGAATCCTGCAACAGGGAAGAAAAAGGCCAGGACAAAATAACCCACTGATAGAAAACAGGGGGATCTTGAGGAATCAGAGACAATGGGGAAATTTGGGGAGCAGGTGAAAAACTTTAAAATAAAATGGTTAATATCTTCAGAGAGATGAGAACAAGTTGTACCCATAAACAAAAGAAAACAAGCATAAGACAAGAGAGAACTTTAGACAATTTTTAAAAAGAGGAAATAATATAAAGAATTCAATATATGATTTGGATGATGAAATCACAAGGAAAATGAAATAAATGCTTAATGTAAAATGTGGGAGAAAATATTAATAATTAAAGACTGAGCCAGAAGGCTCACTATTTAAATAGTACGTGTGATGAAATTTGAAAACTAGAAGACAACAGTAACACAGGTATGGAAACAGAAATAGTTTTCAGGACTGAAGAACCAATTTTCTGATTAAGGTTTGCTGAGTGCCCAGAACATGAAAACATATGCTCATTTGGAACAAGAAGTACAACCTAAAATAATCATTGCAAATTTTAAAAAGTCATAAAAAATAATTAAAATGACAATGGCTTCAGGCTTTTCAACAGCAACACTGCCATTTAGAAGCCAGTGGAGTATAAGCTTTAAAAAGACTCATGGATGTGGAGCACAGAGAGGGAATTAACTGTGGGAGAGAGGGGTGGGCTGGATGGAGGGGGGCAAAAGGAAAAAATGGGACAACTGTAATAGAATAAACAAACAAAAAATAAAGTAGAAGCGGACTCAAAAAAAAGGTCTTTCTGTGCAAAAGCTATTTTTAACCAAATTCCATCTCCAGCTCATGTGAATTGTGAAGGTAAAAATGTTGAAGATCATGTAGTACTTCTCAGGAAACTATTAGGGAATGTTCTTCAAAAAAATGAGGAGCTATTAAATAAAAACTTGGGGATCCAGGAAGTGAAAGGTCATCCCATTCCAGAGAAACCAGAAGGGGAGAGTCCAGTGTAGGAGCAACAGCACACAGTGGAATCCAATGACCAGGCGCAGTGCAAAGAGCGTCTCCAGAGACAGAGAAGATGGAACTGATAGTTTAAATATATATATATATATATATATATATATATATATATAGGCACTTGGAAAAATACTTAGAATTGTTAGGAAGGTCTGTTGCATGCACATTTAGAAAAATAGTGAAATTTTCACATTAAAAATGGAGGGGGACAAAAAAGTCAATCATCACAGTATATTGATAACTCAGTTTTGAAAAACAATTGTTGTCCCAGTAATGTAAATGACCCATTATCCAAAATATGTGATAAAACAGCACTAGACAGTCCTGTGGGGCAAAGAACTGATGTCTCGGGCCAGAAGCTAGTGAGCTCGGAGGCCTGCCTATAAGCCATGTAGGTGAGCTCAGAAGTGGCCCTCCCCCACTTCAGCCATGAGATGGAGGCAGCCCTGGCCAAGCCTTTGATGGCATCCTTATGGGAGACCCTGAATCAGAGATGGGCAGCTAAGCTGCTCTGGGATTCCTGACCCACAGACCCTGAATCGATAGCTGTTTGTGGTTGCATAGTGCTAAGTTTAGGTCTAATTTGTTAGGCAGCAGTAGATAACTAATACACCTTTCTGTTCTTAGATATACCAGAATAGCCAGCAAGGACAGTGATCTTCCATTATATAACATAGACACATTATTTTATCTGATATTGAACCATGGAGTTTTTATTTTAGAATTTCTTAGTGCCCAAAGAAGATGCTTTGCTTCCTTCACTCTGTGGCTCAATAACAGTGAAGAATCAGGATCAGACAGATTATGGTAGAAATGCTTCTAATGCTATTTCTGTTTGTCTAAATATGTTACAATTCATTACAACTGACACACTACAGTAATGTCTGTGTTAATTTTACCCATCAACATTTTAGCCCAATGGCCTCAATATGGATAGCTGCTGTATTCTGGTGATACATTCCTGTATGTTAGAGAAGCCCATCTTCCAGCTCACAAAAGATTGGTTGGAGTAGACACCTGATTCTAGTTGGGCCAATCAGATCCTCTCTCTCTGAAATTTAGAATCAGGGTACATTGATGGAATCAATAAACTGTAGGAATCTAAAAGGAATGTTATATGTAGACTTTGGGTCTCCATGTAGCCATCATGAGACATGCATATGCAGACAAATAGGAAGACAAGGCAGTTTACAAAGCCTGAAGCCAACACATAGGAAGAACCATGGTCAAGGAAACCCGGGGCTTTGTGTGTACACACACACACACACACACACACATACACACACATGCAAGCACATGTGCACACTCTTGGACACGTGGTTCCCTCAGCTAAATTTCTTTTAAATAAGTTCTCTGAGCATTTCTTACTTTAGTTAGTCTAGCTTTGGTAGAATTCTATGCCTTGTGAACAAGCCATCCCTGGCTGACATGGAGTTAGCCCCATTCATGGGGTGAGCTAGAGAAGCCACTGCGTGTCTAAGCTTTATCAGTACTGTATTCCTGAGATACGGCTGTCAGGAGAAACAAGAACAGCTTACTACCAAGCACTTCATAAAAGACACCATCAATAACAAAGCAAAGAAGTTGTGATTTTCTTCTTTCAAAACATGTCTATATAAATAAAGTTTTCTAAGTACCAGTTGATCCTAGTAGGAACCATTCAATCTCAGTCAGCAGTGGGTAGTATGGGAAAGCTGACATTTCTGAACTTAACAGCCTCTACAGTTATAAAAATCACCTTATAACAGCAGATTATTTATTCACATATATTATCCAGCTTCATAGGCGCATATCTTAGATTATCTTGTTTTCTTACTGTGGGATATTGTGGACTGTAACTCTGAGACTAATTTTGAATCTTTTTAAGATTTTACTATTTAGTAGATCTATTCTGATACTGTCTTTGCAATAGAAAGGTTGTCATAATCAAGTAAAAACCAAAGACAATTCCAAAGTGAAGTGCAACTAAATTTGCCATCCCTGCTCATATTTTACATGTGAAAACACTTGCTGTTTTGAAGCCAAAACTGTGTTCAGCAACGTTCATTTAAAAAATAGTTGTGAAGCCTCTCCTGTTTACACAGCCATCGTTAGTTGTTGATGGATGTATCAACATGGGTAACTTCTGTAACTTCTCTGAGCTTTGTTTTTGTAATCTATGAGATAGTAATATTTTTATTTTTACATTTGTGTCTGAATAAAAATGAGTTTACTTATGAGTACATAGTAGATATACAATAACTGTTTTCCTTATAATTATATATATAAATTAACCTGAGTTATTTAGATATATATTATATATTATATAAATATATTTAACTTATTTATATATATAAATATTTACATATAAATATTTATGTGTATATATATTTAACTTATTTATATATGTATATAAATTAACCTGAGTTATTTGGCACCAGTCTGGGCATGGGGAACTACAAAAATTCAGGCAGCAGAAGAGAAATGCAATAAATACTAGAGGAGTAAGAAGTCTGCCAACTGAAAACAAGCCAAACACTAAGAATTAATTACTCATTACAGTACCACATGTATCAATACAGGCCTTTGTTAGGCATGGTATGAGCAGAGCAATAAAACTAAACATAAGTTTAGAAGGTCAGTTAATGATCAAAAATTAGTTGGAAGGCCTATTACTGAAATGCATGCACTTCTACAAAGGTTAGTTGCTTCTTGGAAGCTTCTGACCCCTATTTAACACAAAACTCTGTTAATTGATAAGCATCCTAACCTACATGAGATTAGCCAGAGCAAATTAAGAGTAGAGCACACTCCTTAGGTGTGCCTATATACTTAAGGAGCCCTTGACAATCTAACCCAAAGTCCCCAGGCAGGAGAATAGAAAGTAGGAACACCAACTCGTACACAAAGGACTGAGTTGTTACTGCCTAGCTCAATGATCACTGTCCCATATAAAGGTTAGGAGCATAACCAAACTTGTACTTGGAGAATGAAGAATAAGAGCAGACCAAATTAAAGACTACTTTTTCCCTCCAGTAGCACGAGTCCTTGTCACTACAGGTATATTGACCAGTATCAAATGTAATTTAGTGTTAACAATTCTATCTGAGTCCATGCTG